CATAATCTGCTCATTTCAAGAATGCAATCTACTGCAATCATAAAATCGTGGGATTGGCTTTTTTCCCATGCAGCATCATTCTCTGGAGATTCATCCCATTGTTGCATGTATCAATAGTTTATTCCGTTTTACTTCTGAGTAGTGTTCTGTGCTATGGGGGCACCACCGTCTGTCTAACCATTCACCTGTTGGAGGACATTGTGTTTGTAGATCTGGGTTATGACACACAGGTTTTTGCATGGACATCACTTTTCATTTCTCTGGGACAAAGGCCCAGGGATGCTATTGCAGGGGTCTATGCCTGCTGCAGGTTTAGTTGTTTTGTTTTTTTTTTTTAAACCCGTCAAGCCATTTTCCAGAAGCCGCCCCGTTTCCATGCATCCTCACCAGGCTTCAGGGTGATCGCTATGATCTTATCTCAGCCGCCTTGACAGGTGTGTACTGATACTTCACGGCTTTTATGTGCGTTTCGCTGATGACTAATGACGTCGAACACCTTTCCATGTGTTTCTTTGCCATCCGTATATTCTCTCTAGTCAAGTGCACCTTCAGGTCTTTTGCTTACATTCTATTTTTGAAACTGTTAAGTTTTGAAAATTTCTTTATAAAGTACAGAAACGAATTCTTTGTTGAATGCGTACTTTGTAAATGTTTTCTTTCAGTGTTTAGCTTGGCTTTTTATTCTCTTCACAGGGTCTCTTACAGAGCAAAATTTTTTTATTCTGATGAAGTCTATTTAAAAATTTTTCCTTTTATAGATCATATTTTTGGGGACAAATCTAAAACCTCCTGACCCAGCTCCATATCCCCAAAATTTTCTTTATGTTTTCTAAAAGTTTTATAGTTTTAAGTTTAAATCTACGATCCATTTTGAGTTAATTTTCATAAAGGGTGCGAGACCTAGGTTGTGGTTCTTTTTGTTTGGTGGTTTTGTCTGTGGATGTCCAGCTGCTCCAGCCCATTTGCTACAAAATCTGTCTTTCCTCCATTGAATTGCTTTTGCATCTTTGTAAAAACATAATTGGTTGTATTTGTGCAGGTCTGTTTCAGGATTCTTTATTGTCTGTCTCATTAATCTAGGCATTTGTCTCTATGCTAGCAATATAATAAGTCTTGAAAGAACAGCCTGTGGCTGGGTGTGGTGGTAAGCAGCTGTAATCCCAGCTGCTCAGAAGGCAGAGGCAGGAGAGTCACTTGAACCTGGGAGGTGGAGGTTGCAGTGAGTAAAGATCATGCCACTGCACTCCAGCCTGGGCAACAGAGTGAGACGCCATCTTGAACAACAAAAAAAAGGTAGCCTGATTCCTCCCACTTTATTCTAAAAAAAAAAAAGAATTTAGTTATTCTAGTTCCTTTCTCTTTCCATATAAATTTTAAAATAATCTTGTCTATATCTACCAGAGTTCCTTCCAGAATTTTGATAGAAATTGTGTTTAAATCTTTATATTATTTGAGAGAAATGACATTTTTACTCTGTTGAGTCTCCTAACCCATGGATAGAGCTTGTTTAGGTCTTCTTTGATTTGGTTTATAATCGTTGCACTGTTTCAGCATACAGATCCAGCATATGCGTTGTTAGGCTTATGCCTCGGTATCTCATTTTTTTAGCCATTATAGATAATATTGTGTTTTTAAGTTTAGGGTCCATTACTAGTATGTAGACACACAATTGATCTTTGTATATTTATCTTGTGTCCTGCAACCTTTGTGTATTTATTAGTTCTAAGAGGCATATTGTTTTGTGTTGTTTTTCAATTTCTTGGGATTTTCCACAGAGACAATCATGTCATCTGCAGATGCAGACAGTTTTCTTCCTTCCCTTCCAGTTTGAATGTCTTTTATTTCCTTTTTAAGAAACTGTTACTGCTCTGACTAGAACTTTCTGTACTATGGTAAACACAAGTGGTGAGAGTGGACATCCTTGCCTTGTCTCTGGTATTAAGAAGAAAGCATTTGTAACTGAGTATCCCAGCCTCAAAATGTCCTTTAAAACTTTTTTTCCTTTCTTGCTTTCAGCCTTGAAACACACTTTGTTTCTCTCTTTCCCACCAGGCACTTCTGTAAACAGTGCTTGCTTATCTAATTACGTGCTTACTTAGAAATTCCAGGGGCCAATTTTGAAACAAACCAGGCAGAGAGACCCAGATGCAGAATCCTCCCACTTAGGGGGAGTTACAGGTAGCCCCCCACTTCCAGGCTGAAGTCAGGATGACGCAAAGCAGACCTCGGGACAGGCAAGTGATGACTCAGGAGAGCCATCAGAACAGGATGCGGATCGACACCCCCTGCCCCGCTCCCACATACTCCCCAAATGTCTTCCTCCTTGAACCCTTCACTCAGCCCAAAAAGTTGGAATGGACTTTTAAAGGCATGGGCCTGGCCATTCCTCAACTGCTAGCATTTGAATAAAGCTGCTTTCCTTCCACCACACCTCACTGCTCATGCTTTGACTTCTGAGCAGCGAGCAGCTGGACTTGAGCCAGTTACACATCAGTCTTTCACCAATAGGAATAATGTGGCCAGGCACGCGTGGCTCACGCCTGTAATCCCAACACTTTGGGAGGCCAAGGCGGGCAGATCATGAGGTCAGGAGTTTGAGACCAGCCTGGCCAACATAGTGAAACTCCATCTCTACTAAAAAATACAAAAATTAGCTGGGCGTGGTGCCTGTAGTCTCAGCTACTCGGGAGGCTGAGGCAGGAGAATTGCTTAAACCTGAGAGGCAGAGGTTGGGGTGAGGCGAGATCGTGCCACTGTACTCCAGCCTGGCAGAGCAAGACTCCATCTCAAGAAAGAAAAAGAAAGAGAGAGAGAGAGAAAGAAAGAGAAAGGAAGGGCAGGGCGTGGTGGCTCAAGCCTGTAATCCTAGCACTTTGGGAGGCCGAGGCGGGTGGATCACGAGGTCAAGAGATCGAGACCATCCTGGTTAACATGGTGAAACCCCGCCTCTACTAAAAATACAAAAATTAGCTGGGCATGGTGGCGCGTGCCTGTAATCCCAGCTACTCAGGAGGCTGAGGCAGGAGAATTGCCTGAACCCA